CACCGTCTCCTACTGCACAAACATTTCAGCGACGCTTCTTGGACTCCGATCAACTGTTGAGACACATCACAGTATGATTTTATTTGTCAGATCTAAGGCCTGGCGCGAGGGGCTGAGAAGTAAGACCACCTGCATTTACTTATGTCCCAGAACCCCGGGAGCGAGCGTCTGAGAAGGCTCGGAGGATTAACTTACAGCTTTTACAGCTCAGTCGGCACACACTATTATACCTATTCAATCACACCGGCCTTCTGGAATATAAAAATTTTTAACAGAGCTCACGCGCATGTACACACGCACACGCACCGACACACACAGAGTACCCGCTTGACCTGCTTCTGCTGCAAACTGTCACAAGCTCTGGCGATTATGTATGTATGTGTGCTTCTCTCTTCATCTTTAGGGAAACTCTGAGGTTTTCCATCTGAAAGACGAGCGAATCTGCGATCACCCGGCGGTGTAATGAGGTGAGATAATCTCTTCGGGTTCAGGGCGCTGGCAGGGACAGATGCTGGTAGCGAGAATTTTATAAAGCAGGCTGCGCAGATGACGGGTGAGGGTGCCTCATAGGGGTAAGCCAATGATAAAGAGTTTATTTTAATAAGTCAGCGAGACAGCTGCTGAAATGTCTGTCAGCAAGTTTGTCGTGATTTGTTATCTTTTACATAAACAGCAAAAAAAAAAAAAACACTTTTAAAAAATTAACTTTGTTCTTAAAGTGCATTTCAGAAATAGCACTTAGGCAACTTATCAAAGATACATTATGAAATGATATAGCACAGTTATGTCCATCAGCTAAATCTGCATAGATGTTTAGCTTATGTTAGGGGAAAGACTGGGAGCGAACATAGTGAAGCCTCCATCATTCAAAACTCCCTAATTAACACGTTACATCTCGTTTCTTTAATCAATGCTAAATATCAGCGTTTAAACCCAGTGTAATTGTTTTAAGGAGGATTATGTGCAGGATTATTTCCTGAGAGCCTGATGTATAAACCTCACCTGGCTCTTTCTTTTCTAAAATATCAAACATTTCCTTCTTCTTCTTGCTTGCGTTTCTTTTTCTTGTACACAAATTGCTCTTTGCAGCACACATACCATCCCAACCTGCTCTTGTCGCGTGCCCCTGCATGTGCCTTTTCCCCTGTAATCTTATACCTTACACAGCGGCATGCTGTCTGCACCTCAGTGCATCTCTTTTGCTCTGCTTTTACCTTCACGGGGTCATCACAAACGATGTGAAGCAGGCATACTTACAGGAGGTCCTGAAAAGAGAGAGGAAAAATCCCTGGTTAGTGTGTTTTCAATCAGCGATCAAACAGACACAGATCATCAATAGTCCACTGGAACCACTTATCCAGAATTACTAAGAACAGAAATCAGCCTCAAGCTGAGAATTATTTTTTTGGATAGGACCGTCTTCACATTTCATCTTTGCCGCGATGCGTTCACTGACAATGAGGAATGGGAGAAAGACGGCCTCTTTCAGTAATCTTTCTACCTTACAGCAGAGAACAAAAGACTCCCAGCTATTTACCATACCGCGGTTGGGCCAACAACAGTCACCAGGCCTGGCGATCGCATTTTACATTTGCGAGTAGCTCCGATTTCACTGCTACAAGAGGTTGTGTGCTTGTTAAAGAAATACCCGCACTTTTTTTTTTTTTTGTGAGGTGACACTCGTCTTTTGCCCAATTACTGCTGCTCAAAGGACTCGGTGCCAGCGCACTTCAGGGCTCCCCACAACCCTGCAAATCATTTGAGGTCTTCAGGTTCTTATTAAAAAGGTACCCAGCTGCTTTAACACTGAAATAGGGATTTTTTTTTTCCTATGTCCTTGAACGCTTCTTCTTCATGACCACTGCAAATTGCTCCTACAGCTGGGATTTTAAGGAGCCGCGTGTTTGAGCCTCACTGCTCGTTTGTTTTATGGATCGTTGAGTTACAGTGGACCACTTAGTTTTTAATAAACCTGCTCCACTATGTTGTTTTTTTTTTTTTAAGTGTTTCAGCTGGTAATATGAGAAATCAAAGAAAAAAGTGTGATTTAGGGAAAGAAAAGGTACAATTTCCTATAAAGAACATAGCGGGCACCTTAAAGGTTTTAGGGTCTACAACTGTTACAGCTTCTTGACGGCCAGAGTAAAGTCAAAAAGCACTATTAGCTGACACTGTAGCGTGTCATGTCTTTTATAATGCACAGTAAAAGTCACCAAGGCTCGGTTTCGCTTTCCGTTCTCACACCGTGACTTCCACTCGAACAAACGTTCAACCTTTCCGTGTGTAAAGTGGAACTGCTCACCTAATCCAAGCATCAATTCCTCCTTCTTTTTTTTTTGTGAGCGCAGGAGTCACAGACCTGATTATTCAAACGGGGAAAAAATATGCGAGGAAACGTCTAACACTTTCCAGCATTGACCACCTGCTAGAACAGTCTGAGCCTGTGGCTTCTCAATGCTACAAAACCTTCTTCATCCTAAACTGTCCTGCCACAATTTTCCTTTCCATATGTTAGCGGTAAACAAACAAGAGATCCTAATGAAGTATCCCATTCATTTTTAATGCATAGGTAAACATCACCGTCTCTTTTTCCTATTTGTTCTTTCTGTCAGCGGAGCCAAGTGGTGGGTGAAATCTTCCTCCTACCTTTGTAGATGAGTAAACTGCAAAACACCTCAGCATGAATTTATGGGAAACTCGCGACAGCATAGTTTCTTTTGGTTAAAGTGAATCATGAATTAAATATGCTCCCCTTCAACATCCACCAGAGTTGAGAACTTAAAAGAGGGAAATTGGATTTGCAGAAGGCTTACGGTGCAGAATTCAGCATGCCCCTGCCCATCAAGGACTGCATTTCTTCAGTCGCATAAATAATGTCTCTTAAATATCTTTTCAGTTTCTCCCCAGTGCGGTTTGTTTTGAGCGTTTCTCCGGGATTCAGGCTGAATCTACTTTTTAAAGTGAGTCAAACACATCCTATTTGGGGGAATTCAGCGGAAATGACTGAACTAAAACTGCGTGTCAATCTGCAATTACACCGAGAGCATTCAAAGCTGCGCGCACGTGAGGATGTAGATAAAACGCCGGTTTGTTAAATCTGTCTCCTGACACGATGCTTCAATCCAGTCAGTGCTTCGGTTTGCAAATATTCTACTGAATGTCGGGGCCTGTCCTTACATTTGTTCCCTATTGTTTATTCTTAATAGACTGCTGTACCTCACCAGCCCAGGCATCATGAGTGGCCATGATTGCTTGCTTGTTTCCAATTGATTTGTCAAGAGGAAGCAATTCACATTCTCCGCATTTGTTCTGGCTGAACAGAGACCAAAAAAAAAATGTGTCTGCACAATGGTGCCATTTAAACTACGCTGGCATGGTGGATGTTTATTGGGAAGTTAAGCACTGCATAAACAAAGCCTGGCGGTATCTCAGATCTGCAGCCAACCGGAACATTGGACCGCTGTCTTTCTGTAAACTCATTGTATTATTATTTTCTTATTTGACTGAAAATACAGGAAATAAAAATACTAATACTCAGCAAGCAGATCTCAAATGATTCAGTTGAATTCCTCTGACTTCCTGTGCAAATTCCAGTGTTTGGTTCTCAATCTACGAAACCAAAGCTGTTCTTTTACAGTCTGTGTCACTAAGGCTGGGGACTTTGCTTCGCCCCATCTTTCTGCCTTCCTTTTGCAAAGCTAATACTTTTTTTCCAAAGTGTTTTCTGTTTTCTGTGCTCTCGACCAAAAGGCCGACACACTCCAGATTCCATTATCACTTCCCGCTATCAGGTGAGCGGAGCGTGGACATGTTCTCGCTGCGAATTCAATTTGCGGTGACACTTCCCGTGCCCGTGCCGGGGAGTGTCACTGCGCGACACGTCCCAGCTGAGGTCTAGATGCCCGAGGCCTCAGCTGGGACAGATGGAGGAAGGGGAGAGGGGGAGACTGGAGGTCCTGATTACATTATAACAAGTCGCTGCTGAGTTTGTGGAGGGGGTTTAGCTCGGGACAGCATATGAACATATCCACGCTGAGCGTAAGCACGGACATGAGCAGCTTTCACCAGGTTTCCAAACACTTTTTCTGTCCCTCAGCTTTACCGGGAAAATACAGTGTTTCTGCAGCGACTGCAGCTCAAACAATCCAAGCGAACGCTGAAACCAACCGGCCACAAATTACACATCTATAACCTATTTTGGCCTCCACAGATATACAGTGTACTTTTTACATGATTGCAGCACGATTTGCTAATGTCCTCCTGAATCCTTCCTTAAACGTTTCTGGATTGAGAAAACTCGATTCAGATTCAGACAAACACACAAACACACAAATGTGCATACCAGGGTCTCCATTACGGCCTCTTCTTCCCCGCTTTCCCGGAGGTCCTGGAAAAAAAAGAAGAAGAAGAATGTGATTGTCATTTTGTTTGTGTAAGTTTCATATTCTTCAAGTGTTCTCGCTCTCACTTTTACACACCAGCGTGAGGAAAAACCTCCAATGTGAAAAGTTCACATTGGAAAACCAAACACGTTCCAGCCTCACTGCTTATTAAGCATTGAGGCTTTATGTATATGTAGACATAAGTCGAGGTGGAAGAAAGAACTCCAAGGTCTGCTTCATGCTGTCATTTTTTTTATTTCTTTTTTTCCTTTTAAAGGTTGTCTTTCAGCACGGATGCCCAGGTTTGAAAATTGTTTATCTTAACTAGCGCGTTTGTGTTTGCCATCTTCCTGTCAACACTATCATGCTGCTAAAGCTCAGCTGGAGGAGTAAAACAATTACACGCTTAGCCAGGTTGTACAAGTTGAAGGCTTGACTAGATCGTACTGAATACAGGTAATGCTTCAAAAAAAAAGAAGAAAAAGTGTAAATATCTCTAATTTCCTAATTAAAGAAAACTAATTTTCTTGTTTCTGGCTTTTTGTTGTCATTTCCACAGTAAAATGCCAGCATTTTAACATTTTTAACATTAAAACATTAATAGCCCTGCAACGATGTTTATATAGCTTCTCACTTGCATTGCACAGCCGCCAGGATCGACAGTTTGATTATTTTCTATTAATTTACTAACCTTACCTAACTCAGGGCCACTGTAGTCTGTGCTGGTTCTGGACTAATTGTATGACAAATCTAAGCTAAACTCTTTTCTAGTGCCAGTTCGAATGACTTATTAACAGCCTGAGTTGCCTTCAAGGGGGAGGAACTGACGGTCACAGTACTTGCGTGACAGGGTCGGGAGAAGTGTGTTTGTATGCAGTGGTATTCTTTACGCTTGACTAGCAGTTGTGAACAAACACACTGGCTAGTGTGTCTCCTCAAAACCATCCAAATTCTGACTTAACAAACTGGGTGAACATCAGTCTCAGGCAGTGGAAAACGTGCCATATCAGTGGCTACTCCTATAATTAAGGAAAACTGACAGATATAGGATTTTTGAGACCAATATTGTTATCGATATTTAAAAATTCAATATTTTGATATTTTTTTCCAGGCACAAGAAACATAGATAGACTTCCATTAACACTTGTTCTGTGTAGTTATGTATTTCAAACATGGGTGTTGCCAACAGAGAAACTGCAACGTGTCCACTGGTGGATATAATATGCAACGTCAACAGCCATAACATGACTGAAGAATGTTATCAGCCATTATAAATGCAGATATTGCTATATCTGGCAGCACAATGGTGTGGTAATTAGCATTGTTGCTGCACAGCAAGAAGGTCCTGAGTTTGATTTCACCCTTCTGTGTGGAGTTTGCGTGTTCTCCCCGTGTTTGCGTGGAATCTCTCTGGGTACTCTGGCTCCCTCTCACAATCCAAAGACATGCAGTTAGTGGGATTAGGGTAATTGGTCATTCTAAATTGCCCATAAGTGTGAATGTGAGTTCAAATGGTTGTTTGTCTCTATGCGTTAGCCCTGTGCAAGACTGATGACCTGCCCTTGGTGTACCCCGCCTCTCACCCTATGGTAGCTGGGATAGGCTCCAGCCCCCCGGTGACCCTGAAAAGGATAAGCGTAAGAGGATGGATGACGCTATATCAGCCACACTATCTTGCCAATAAATTGATGAGTTCTTTTTTAATCAAAAAAACTGCATTGAGTCATCATGTTAGAGGTTCAAGATAATCACAGTCATGAAACAATTTCAGGTGACTCTGAACTCTCTCTAGGTAACGCTGCAGTTATGCTGATGAGGGCTTCCCATGATGCACTGAGAGTTTCTTCTACATTCACCTTATCCTCACTCTCTATGTATTTATACACTGCTCTGCATTTAAATTTTAGTTATAATTGATCTTCTTCCCTGTCTTCCTCCCTTCACCCCCAATCAGATGGCTGCCACTCCCTAAACCTGGTTGTGCTGGAAGTTTCTTCCTGTTAAGAGAAGGTTTTTCCTTCCCACTGTCACCAAATGCTTGCTCATTTAGGTTTGTCTGATTGTTGGAATTCTCTATGTGTTATTGTAGGGTCTTTACTTTACAGTATAAAGCATCTTGAGGCTTTTTTTTGTTGATTTGGTGCTGTATATAAAACTGTACTGAATTGAGCAAAATAAATAGAATTGGTGAAAGTTTCTGAAGAGAGTGCACAGCACAGAATTAATTATTTGGGTATTAAAAGGTGCTCCAAGAAATGACTTTGATGCTAGGCTTTCATGTTCAGCAAAAGTATGCAAGTATGCAAAACAATCATACTAATTACGAATCTAAATTGCTGAAATTGACCTCCATACCCTGCGTGCAAACCAGATGCATGCCTGTAAGTATGGTGCAAAACAAAAATAAAAATCCTGTTTATGCTGTGTTTGGCTGATTTATGCCATTCCAGATGTGTCATTAGGGTGCAAAACGCAGGATTATGTTGCACAACTCTTTGTATGATGCTAAGTGCTCAATTTGATACCACTGCTTGGCTCAGCCTCCACTTCCAACTTTTGAACCCTTTCCAGGATAATGTCAGCTGCTGCCAGTGAAGGGTCCAGGCAAAGTTTAAGGAATGAAACCACAGGTGGAGCCTGACTCTCACTTTACTGTGGTTCATATCAACCCTGGGTTCTCCATAGGTTTGTATTTTAAAAGAAACAGAAGGGGGTTTACTGTGTTTGGCAGTCGCTTCATTATTGCTCACTTTGAAATGACACATGACATCTCAGAGAGGAATATTCTGTACGACAAGATGACATCCTTCTGATTTCAGTAGGATATTTTTGACAACCTTTAAGAAAATACTACCTTCAAGGGAGTGTGTGGTCCAGACGAAATACCCTACACGATTTTTAGATATCATCATGATTCCTAATATTCATCACAATATTTTTTATTCAGATTATAGGCTGTAAGGAGATATCGCCATAGAATCCAGACTATACACTGAACTTGGTGAAAAGTGCTCTAAGCCAACAACAATATTTCAGTTTATGAAACATTAATGAAAGAATAACTTAACAATGTCTATAACGGCCAGTCCAAACACGTTTTCAGATGTATTCAAGTTTCCTTAGGACAAAAAAAAGTGACCAGAACCTCTTTAAAAAAAATGAAATCAACAGCTGGATTCTAGGGCGAGGGGAGACATTCGGCTGCCTGTTAAGGCAAAACATCACTCTTGCTCAAAAACATTGTTTTGGCCCGCTGTTTTCTCACAGTATCCCATGTACAGCGGTTTTGGGAAAAAATCTGGCCGGGAATGTCATGACGTGGGTCACTAACTACGAACAATCTGTTGAAACCTTTACAGCATATTTTAAAAATGAAAGTGAAATAAATCAGAGTGAATTTAATGTTCGTATTAAATGTTTGGCCAGGCGAAGATTTTGGTCAGACATAACAAAAATGGACCTTGTGGTGTTGAATGTTGTGTTTTTACATTGTGTTATTTGGTGGCTTTTATATTTGAGAAAGGAAGCAGCAGAGAGCCACATTACAATGCACAACCACGGATTACGGTTTGGCTTGTTTTTTTACTAGGCTACACTGACGGTAATGTCAGTCCATTTGTTTTCAGTGACTACTGTAGATATACTCACATTTATCCTAATGGTTGATCCCCTCACATCTTTATATAATGAATTACAAGCTTATTTTATTCAGCTGACCATAAATTTACCAAATATGTCCAAAGTGGGCTGAAAAACTAAGCTAAAGCTAGAGTGCCAAAAAGTGCCCTACTTTAAATAGCTTTGTCTTGATATCCCTGTCTGTGTGATGTACCATTACACTTTATGGATGCACCTTACTCATGTCTCAATCACACTAGAGTATAAACAGCATGGCATTTGCCTTTTGACTAGGAAAACTGTGATTTCCCAGTGTCTGCTGTGAAGTAGTTAAGGTCGTTACGGACCAACCAGATGTTGTCTGTGCAGGGCCCTCAACCTCAGGACAGCCACTTTGATCACAAGGTGATAACTTGTGATCTGCTATTATTGTCATAACTGACAATAATAGCAGAATAATTTCTAAACACGGGCAGACTGCCACCAAGTAGCAGTCAGTTAGATTTCTGCATGTGTAAGACAGATTTTTAATAGATGACAATAGATTTGCAACTATCCCAGTTAATCCACATGTTACAACAAACAGATTATGTTTAATTTCCAATTACTGATCCGATTACTCTGCATTGATCCCATTCAAATGCAGAATGATAGCTGACAGACATAACATCTTATTGCTGTTTTTTACCATTAAGACACAAACAGCAACTGACTGTGAGTATTAGCACTAACCACAGCATGCACTAATCAAGATGGCTGCTGTGCACTGTTAGAATAAAACATTAAATATCAATCGCCACCATTCAAAGGAAATCTGGTCAAAGAGAATCTCAGTTTTGTTACCTTAACTGCAAATATCTCTCAAAGCTATGTCTGAAAAACACAATTTATTAAATGGTTTTTGATGCATAAAATCCAAATAAACAATGAGCTATATTGCCCCAAATCCTTATCCAGCAAACCTCTGATATGAGGTAAAAACACACTCACACAGGCCAAGCGGTGTGACCTGGCCAGTCAACGTGCTAGCGACTTTTCTTTCGTTAGCTTGTGGTGATAACATCATGTGGACTGTGATCATTGGTTACATGTTCTTGTAGTAGTTTATCGAAAATATCATTCACAAACCTGCTACAACAGACAATTCAACTATTTACACTACTGCTAAACCATAATAGTTAACAAAAATCTAAATATTCATATAAAATCTGCTTTTCCATCTTAATCTAGAAGTTTTTTAATTTCAGTTAGCATAAAAAAAGCTTTAAAAAATTAACAGTTTTGGTCTTGAGCCTTGTTTTTGTGCATATGCAATATAATCAAACACACTGTGAAAAGTATCTTTGTTCACTAAAATTGTCAAATTGTCATTTGTAGACAAGTCAAA